TGGATATTACAATATATAAATGTTTGCGTTTATTATCAATAATTTTCAAGGAATACCGAAACGACGAAATAACAGGCTGACAAAATTATATTTATGCTAGTGAAGTCTGGCATTACATTCATAAGAATTGCAGAGCCAAAAATGAAACAGCGGAAAAACTTTAACGCCATTCCTTATCCAACAGGTACTACTTCAACACGCAAACGAACCAGTGCGACTGCTTCCTCTATGGTGGCTGTGGGGACGAGGGCCTCGAATCGAGCTACTCGACGCTAAACGAGTGCCGGGCAACGTGCCTTCCGGCCATCCAGTTCGAAGGACCCAACTGCAAGAAGGTGTTCCAAGACGACGATATCTTGTTCGAGCCAGCTGCGTCCTTGCCGTCTTTGCCTGCCCCGTCCATCACGTCCGGGACGGTGGGTGGCCAGCCCTTTGCCGACACTTCCCATATTTCCGATAGCGAACTTCTTTTCGCCTTTTGATTGCTGTGGATTTTGCTGAAAGAGAAACGGCTTCGTGGAGATTGTGGGAGTATCTTTTTATATAAGAAAAAAAATGTGATCCATTATTTTTTTACACTGCCTGTGTTTACATTAGTTGTGGAAATAAAAAAGATGTCTAAGGTATTAGGAAACTAACACTATTTGGTAAATCGTTTGTAACGAGCTGTCGTCTCTTAAAAGCTTGGATCTTGCGGTTTGGCATGTAGATTTAAATCAGTGCTATTCAGCAAGTTGATATTCGCGGGATTCACTGCATAATGAATTAAAAGATAAACGCATTCAGATAAAACTGAGTCTACAGTATGTACTTGAAACTTCAGCGTTTGTATTCCCCGTCCCAATGATTTTTTTCCTTCTAACGTATAGACTAGGAATAATGCATTTTTCAACCGTTGCTGTTGGGTTTAATTACAAACTGAGCAGTGTCTCTATGCGTTTAATGAGCTAATTTTTTAAAGATGTACTTGTGTTGCATTGAACGCCATTAACGGCCAGACTCGCTTTATGTGGTTGGTCATTTATCACAGCGTTGTAAAATCATATTTCATTCACGTTCTCGCTTCTGTAAATAATCCACATTCATTAACAGTGTCTCCTCTCAACCTTCACTTCATACTGGGATCTACTGTGTTAAAACTATCATATGCATTCATGTATGTGTATCTATATGGTGATTTCGTACACATGAATCGTGCATTTTTTTGTAGGTATTGAAGACTTCATTGTTCACGTAATAAAAGTATACAAGTCATTTTACTATCATTACCACAAAACATATTGTTGAATTTACATAAAATAGGAACATTTGAATTACAACCGTGAAACCTACGATTGTCCAATACAACCTAAATAAGAGAACATTCAACAGGCTCCGGGGGCTCAACCAGCGCTTCCTGCAAGACCCGACAGTGAAAATGGTGCATCACAAAACAAAAGCGTAACACAACAAACAGCTGGAGAATCCGTCAGTGTGGCATCGAACCAACACACCCCGGGAAAGGCACCAACAAACCGTCATACACTTTGTGGGAAAATGCCCTCCCCAGGAACATGCAGAGGGGCCTTCCCGAGGTAGGGTTTGAAACCAAGTGATTTTACAGTTGTGGGGGTCCTGCAGAATCTGATGTCTTTGATAAGAATATAGCAATGTGTTGACATAAAGCATGGAATATTTTGCATTAGAGAAAAAAAATGCCTATTTGTTAGTATGGTGAAAATCGCTTAGTGAGCTGGTATGGCTTTCGCATAAAGCACAGCATTTTGTATGGAATCTTTTTGAACGAGGAACCACTAATCAAGGGATGTTTTGCAGGGTCGCACGTCCATATTGCGCCATAATGTTAACGAGGACTTCCTTCTTATTTTCCTAAACTTTATTTCCATTTCCATATTTGGGGCGCTATTCCTCGTTTGTCTTCTGCACCTGTTTCTGTCACGTGCTGCATCGCTGGCTAAACAATTCTTTTGCAAGTCAATATTGTCAATGGAGCCTCTGCGTCCGAGTCTTGGCCTGTCTCGTCTTCTCTCTCCTTCAATATTTTACTTCCTGATTCTTCTTACAAACGCGTCGTCCTTTCCCATGGCATGCCCGGACAACTGGAGTCTTTTCACCTGTTTCGTTTTGGATAATTATTTTATTTTTGATCATGTCACTTCTCGTGACTGAATATCTTAATATGTGAATTTCCGCTTCATTATTTTCCTATCTTTTACTTTTTTATGCCGCCTCATTTAAATTCCCAAGAGCATTGCTTTATAGTTTACCTTTCATTCTTACGCAAATCCTGTCACACAATACTCTGTATCCTATAGCATAGTTATCCATCCAGATTTCGACTCTCGGTTACATTCGAGCCAAGATACGTAAACGCAGCAACTCGTTTAACGTATTTTTGGATCATAACTTCGTTCACTTTGCCTTTTCCGTTTTACCAGAAGTGTTATGTGTGCATAACGTTGATCTTGAAACCTTTATATTCTAGTTCCCTTTCCAGTGACCTGACTTTATCTCGAACTCTCCTCTTGTCTCACATACTAGTACTATTTCATCTGAAAACGACCCTTGATTCTGTGGATCAATGCGTCCATAATGAGGGATTTATGGACCCGGAAGACCCTTCATGAAATCCGACTATAACATGAAAGACGTCTGTTGGTCCAAGGCAGTTGATGGCTTGGGTTGTTGCATCCTTGTACATATCTTTCATCAGTCTTACTTTTCAGTTACTCCCTTCTATCTCATACATATCTCCGGTCTCGGCACATTATCGTACGATTTTTATCTTGAAAATTATATATATTATATATATATATATATATATATATATATATATATATATATATATATATATATATGTGTGTGTGTGTGTGTGTGTGTGTGTGTGTGTGTGTGTGTGTGTGTGTGTGTGTGTGCGTGTGAGTGCGCGTGTGTGCATAAGCGTGTACTGTTTAACACCACTTTTATTTCCTTAGGTACTATTACAACGAAACCAATGACCAGTGTGATTGCTTCCTCTATGGCGGATGCGGAGACGAAGGTTTAGAGTCGAGCTACGCAACCTTAGCGGAATGCCTGCGAGTGTGCCTCCCGCAGGAGACGCTCGAGGGCCCCGCCTGCAAGGAGGTCTTCCAAGATGACCAGGAGGATTTCGAGCCTCTTGCTTCAAAACCCCGGCCCACTCCTGGCCAGAGTTCGAGCGTTGACACGAGCAACATTGCAGATGAGGATTTGCTCGGACTCTTTGGTCGCTAAGACTGACGAGGCGACTTATGAACATTAAGTCGTTTCAGATTTGTCGAAATTCCTGGCTCAGGGTTCAAATAACTCGATTCTTAACGTTGTTTCGAGGCCTCGATCTTGGACACGAACGCTTCCCCTAATTGTACCTGCACAATGCACACTAATGAAGTGAGAGGGAGTTTTACCTCAAGTTCTAAAGAAATACTAGACGCTTCCTTACAAATTATTGCACGGGTAAAGCTTTCGTATTGTCATGATAAATCGATGGTCCATTTTCTATTTATGAATGTTAAATTATTGCACCGGTAAGGCATTCCTATATTTATATTTAATCGAGCTTACTCTTCTCTTTACTATGATGTCCACTCTGATAAACACTAAGGGCGTAAAGCACTATGGTCATAAGATCTGCATTGGATTTTCTCGCACATTATTCATGTAATTTCAACAAACACCAAAAATATCGCTGTTCTCATTAAAGATATGCAAATACAATGAGTTCAGTCTGAAAAAATGTGTCTACATTTTTCTTTTTAACCTTCCTCCCTATTATGGTGTTCTTACAATCATAATTTCTTATATAATATATATATATATATATATATATATATATATATATATATATATATATATATATATATACATATATATATATTATATATAAATATATAATATATATATATATATATATATATATATATATATATATATATATATATATGTGTGTGTGTGTGTGTATGTGTGTGTATATGTGTGTGTACATATACATATACATATATATGTATATATACATGTGTATATATATATATATATATATATATATATATATATATATATATATATATGTGTGTGTGTGTGTGTGTGTGTGTGTGTATGTGTGTGTGTATGTATATATATACATATATATAAATATGTGTGTATATATATATATATATAATATATATAATATATATAGATATATATATGTATATATACAAATATATATGTGTGTGTGTAACATCTACTGACGCTTAGGGTGGCCATTGTTTATAATATTGTTTATATCATAGGTTGAGGTAAAATTTGCATGTTCCATTCTTAACTATTTTTTGCGTTTAATCACACCACTTACTTAATGCCATTAGAAAAGCGCAATATGGTTTTAAGTAGAGAGAACATGGCTAGGTGAAGAACTAGGGATAATTAAATAAAACTCATTTGAATAAAATATCCTTCACATGCCGAGAATTTCATACTCTAATTAAAGATTATAACTCATAAGTAACAAGAATTTCATTATAATGATATGATCGTGATAATTTTCAATGCATCTTTCAAGCAATATTAGTTATACCAATTTCTCGTAGCCAACGAAACGAACATTATGTATATCTTTTCAGAAATATTATGAACAAATCTTTCTTGGCGCTTTCTCTATGGGGAATATACTGTTTATAAAATCATAGAAAAAATATATTTGCATTTAATTGCGTTCTTGCTGTTCCTAAATAACAGCCTGTTCCCCTATTACCATCAAATTCAACTAATTATTGTGTGGAAAAGTGATATACATGGAATAGAGATTAAATAACTCAGATTATGTGAGGCAGTGTCCTTATTAAAATTCAATAGCCGCTTATTAAGCTCTTTTGGAAATACATGAGGTGATGTGATTAACATTTCATTATCAATCCCCTTTGGAAAATGGAGATACAAAACAAATGATAGTATCAACATACAAAGAAAAGTCTTGGCGCCATCGTACCAGACGTCGCTGCATATGTACTGTGGATTTCAAACATTTTGCAATCATTGTTTTAACCATACGTTCTAGATACTGAATATACCCGATATAAAGTAGTAAATAATTCAGCAGTTTTATAATGATATATGAATCCGTAAAGTGTAAAATGCTGGGAGACATTTCCCCAACCTTTATTTCGTGTGCAGATAAATCTAGTACATGGATTATGAATGATACTTTATATTCAGTGATATGGCCAACGAGACTTCTAAAGTTCTAAGAATCCCATTTTCTGAAAAAAATACAATTGTGTAACTCAGTGAAAACAATGAAATAATACTCTGTCAGAAGTAATGCAAATTTGATGGATATATACTGGCACAATCTAAAAACGCTTGGCGGTAAACTATTATTTTCAGTTGTAAGAAAAAAGAAAGAAAAAAACGTGTATCACTGTGATACTATTCCACTGTGGTCATTATTTTTTCATTCGTTGAATCAACTGTTACAGATCTAGAGGGGTAAATAATATGACTCCTAAAACATTCCGTAGTGTAACTAGATTTTTATCTCATTGATTTTAGTATGTTACATATCAATATTTTACGCTAATGTTATATATTCGACACTTCAGAAATCCAAGTGAAAATCCAAGATGTCATTTCAGTTTCAGTGGCAATAGTGGTTGTCATGTCATTAGTTACCTTATTAGGGTTGAATGATTTGATATATTTTAGTTAATACGGCTACAGGCTGATAATGAAGATGAAAGCAGCATAGAACATTTAGGTAAATTTGGAAATGCAACCCGACACCATTTTTTGGGTGAGTAGAATAAATTTCCAATAGCTTTCGTCGTGTTTCGAACGAATCTGGCACTCATTTCCTTCGCAAAAGAAGCATAACTATGATATCGGTCTCAATAGCTGGGGAGGGCATGATAGGCCTACATTTCGAGAAATATCGGTAGAATACTAGTAAGCGTAGTGTATTAACACATTTCCCTGTTGTTTAGGGGGCTCCGCCCCCTTAAACCCCTACCCCCCGCCTGGTCTTCAAAATCTTCACCTTATATGTTCCGGCAGGATAAAGCCCGGGCAAACCAGGTATCTAACGTTTTCAGTAGATATAGGAGGCTTCGCCCCCTTTTACCCCCTTTCAAGAGGTGGTGCTGCCCGCCCACCCCCGCCTGGTCTGCAAAATCTTCACTTCGTATGTTCCGGTAGGAGAGAGCCCAGACCCAGGAGCAGTTTTAACCTCATCTTACCTGAAGCATCAACTCCAGACGTGCTAGGCTGTGGGTCACTGGGATCGTCGGGGTATACCAGGTCGTTGTTGACGAGAATTGCGATCGCTTACAGTAATACACTGCTTTCTCCGTTTTGTTTTCTGAATCCTTTTCCATGCACCACAAACCTACTGGTGCCATGTCATTTCTGTAATGACATGATATTTTACAGTGCGGGCATTGCATTTCCATTGGCAGTACATCGTGACGTAGATTTTAGTAAGCTTATTTCGTTATTTTGTTGATATTCCGCAGTGAAATCGAAATAATTGTTCTTATAACCTAAACACTGTCTAGCCATCATGGAACTGATTTGAATTTCAACTGCTTTCTCCTAGGCCCAGCTTCTATTGTCACGTGATGATCTATTCCTTATCTGATTGGTTCTATTGAGTGTCTATATTCACGTTACGTTCACGCACGAATCTAATTGGCTCATTTGATTTCCCTCGCATACGTCATCCGCTACAAATCCGTCCGATTTGCTGTCGCTCTTAACGACTTTTAGTCATTTTGCCGCGGGGTTGGAGGCGGAAGGTTACTGCGGTACCTGGAAATCGTGGATTTCATACCCTCTATAACTCCGTAATTATAATTTTGTACAGAAAATGGTATAGAAGAAAATTATCATAGTATGATGTGTTCTACCACATTCTACCAGATTCTTTAAATTAGGTTTGGGGTTACATTTCCGATAATACCAAGATTGAAGATGACCAGACTCTTACACCTTCCGGTTAATCCGAAGGATCGGTTTACAAATAGAAATCGAATCACATAGGAGTTTAGTCTATCCTATTATTTTCAGTTTTCTATGTCAAAAGAAAATGGCACTTTTGAGGAGCAACTTTACTAATAGTTCTATTGACGTAAAATTTAAATCACGGTATATATCGGTCCTAAAGTAACATCTTAGTTTTGCGCTGGAATTAAGCAATTAGGGTATTATATAACTACATGTTCTGATGATCATATTGGAATTGACCTTTTTTCAAAATGTCACAGCACAAATCACCTTGCAAAGGAATTAAAGATATTGGATTTGGATAAATTGATAAATAGTCAGTGTTCGCTTACTCTCTTAAAACAATTAAACCACAATGCATTGGGCAAAAACTGCAAGTTGATAACAGTAGATAGTATTTAGGGACAAAATATTGTTTAGTAGGCCTGTTTTGTTACATTTAAAGTTATCCTAATATAACATGATTACCGATTGTAGTGTATGTAAAAATGTAAGAATCAGTACGCTGTCAAGATATTAAATTTTATTCATTCCTTTTCTTACATCTGTCGAAGTGACAATGTTTTCCAACGCTTAAATCTTCAATATAGTTTTATGTAGTAAATTATCTTTTGTGATGGAATTTGTATTTATTTTTTAACTGATCTCTTGTTCCTCTCGAAAATCAATTTTTCCTTTTGTCTTCCTAAGAAATAATCGTAGATGATACTTTGGTTAATGAAAATTAGAACACATTTATGTCGCTCCTTTTTCCTTCGTATTCCATTATTCCGTTTTTCCTTCAGAATTTCTTTCTACTGTATACTTGCTCCAGTTTATCTATGTCCTTATTTCAGTACAATGCCATTTGAACAAGTTATTGAACTTTTCGTGGCCTTTGACACAAATCCTATTATTATTCTGCATGTGTATCGTCCGTCCGTCTGGGTGCTTGGTTTTTACACAGTGCACATGTACACAAGGTCACATAATACGAATATTTGAGAATCCTTTATTAACTCTATTATGATCTTTATTATTAACGTTGTTTTTGTTATTGTATTCAATTTCGTCGTTGGTGTTATTTCTTACTGATATTATTATCATTCTCATTATTTATTTTAATTATTATCATATTATTATCATTATTATCAATATATCATATCATTATCACTGTTATCATCATCGTTATTTCATTATTATTATTACTATATTACAATTATTATTATTATTACAATTATTTATATACTGTTATTCTATTATTTCTATTATCATTATTTATCAATCATCATCATCATTATCATTCATCATCATTCATCATTATCATCATTATAATATAATGATATATTATCATTATTATTATATTATCATTATCATTATCATTCAGTATCATTTTCTTTCGAGACAAGCAATTAGACCGTCAAATTATGCGCGTCGGCTGTCCGAGGGGAAAGTTAGGAAGGAAAGTAGGAGAGGAAGGGGAAAGGAAGGGCAAGAGGGAGAAAGGGAGGGGAAGGAGGCTTAAAAAGAAAAAGAAAATAGATGGGGAAAACCGAGCGGAAACGGAGGAGGCATAAATAGGGAGGATTAGGTATGAGGAAATGGATGGGGGTGAAGGGAGAGGGAGTTCAAAGGATAAAAGGGGGGTAGGAGAAAGAGGGAAGAAGATAAGAGCGAAGAACGTGAGTTAGTTTAGTGATAGAGGTGAGAAGCGGGATAGATGTTAAAGAGGAGAAAAAAATTAATTTAAGGAAGATTTAGAAGTGGGAGAGGGTGACAGAGC